TTTTTTTTCAGGATTCTTTGATGAATAGAAAGATCCAAAGATCAGCATTTATCTGAAATAAAAAGCTTTTGTAACATTATACACTATTCCATTCAGTATAATTTTTATTATTTTTTTGGGAAAGAAATTAATACTTTTATTTAGCAAGGATGCTTAAAATTGATCAAAAGTGATGATAAAGACATTTATAATGTTACAAAAGATTTCCATTTCAGATAAATAGTGGTCATATCGATATCGGAATTATATCGTATCGACCGAAATTAAGAAATATATCGTGATATCAATTTTGGCCATATCGTCCAGCCCTAATTCTGACCCATACAATGTATTGTTGGCTATTGCTACAAATATACCCCAGCGACTTAAGACTGCTTCTGTGCTGCAGGCTCACATATTTGGTGAAGTTTTATTAATGCATAAACAGAAAACAGCATCGATCTTGGAATTTTAAGGATCGATATCAGTTCATTAAAGCAGTTCTTCTAGCACTCTCTATTCTAATTCTATTATCTATTTGATCTATTAAAAAAACATGACCTTTTAAGACTTGCACTCTATTTGTTTTCTAACTGCTTTTCATGCTTTTCTTCCGCGCAAGTTAAAAAATTTAAACTCCAGCGGAAAATTCGCATGACGCGTTCTTGCGCAAGCCAATCAGCGAAGAGTTTCTTGACACGTCCAGTTGAATCAGACAATAGAAGAGAGCATTATTGCAGCCGTCTGTTATTATATAGGTCTGGAGCATAGAAAACAATTAAAATCAGTTGTAGTGGTAGTTGTATTTTATTAGCATGGCTACAGAGATGCTGCTATCAATAATAAAAATAATAGTAATATCAGTGTATATATACAGTAGTAAAATGTAACACACACATTAATACAGGATCCTAACGTTATTCTTCATCCTCTGGATGGTGCTGTGAACCCAGACACGTCGGCGTTTGGCTTTCCATCGTATTTGGGACTTTTTGACAACAGGTACAAAACAGCGATTGTAGTTATCTCCACTATGGTTGATCGCGCTGTTTTTATTCTCGCGAGTGACACGAAAAACATCAGTGACGCGATGCACATATTCGCTTCGCGTCTGGTGTGAACACACCATAACACTAGCTTTCTCTATTCCTTTTCTATTCTATCTCTCTGTTTTCTTTTTATCTATTATATAATTAACAAAAAAAAAACTTGCTACATGTACTGTGTTAAGCTAACTGAGACTTGTCACAGCACTTGCATATCATTGCTCTTTTGTTGGTTTTGATTGCTTCTATTGTCCTCATTTGTAAGTCACTTTGGCTAAAAGCATCTGCTAAATGACTAAATGTAAAATGGAGATCTATTGGCAATTGATTAATCAATATCATCAGTCCATCCCTTACTTTATTTTCTGTCAGCCAGGAGATGTCTGCTGTCGTCGGCGTACACAGACCCTGCTGTTTGGGAGCAGAGACTGAGAGATGCACAGGACCTGGGTGAGACAGCGCTGCTCTGAAACCACATCCGTCTGTCCTTATTTAACATTCTGTCTGTTTTAAATGTGCCTGGATTTTCTTCTGCAGGTCAGCTGGCCTCTCTGATGGACAGAACGTATGCGAGGAAGTTTCCCGTCAGCTCTTTGGTCATCGCTAGGGTGAGAGATGATTTATGCATTTTAAACATATGTGACCCTGGAGCACAAAAGCAGTCTTAAGTCGCTGGGGTATATTTGTAGCAATAACCAACAATACATTGTATGGGTCAAAATTATACATTTTTCTGTTATGCCAAAAAATCATTAGGATATTAAATATAGATCATGTTCCATGAAGATATTTTGTAAATTTTCTACCGTAAATATATCAAAACTTAATTTTTGATTAGTAATATGCATTGCTAAGAAGAACTGCATTTGAACAACTTTAAAGATGATTTTCTCAATATTTAGATTTTTTTGCACCCTCAGATTCCAGATTTTCAAATATTGTCCGATCCTAACAAACCATACATCAATGGAAAGCATAAAAAAAATGGACCCTTATGACTGGATATAGTACAATACATCCACACAAAGTACTATGTTGCTTATGTATGCATGTGCATATGAGTTTAATATCCACTAGTCAACATTTGAAGTGGATCAAAACCATTAATCAAAGTTGGCCTAAAACCAAAATGCATTCTTGTCTTAGGATGTCATTATTGACTACTGCATAATATTAGAATAATAAGAAGAAGACTCAAACATTTTTATTTTGTGAATTCATGACTTGGGTATTAAGTTGTGTGACACTGTAAATAAAGTAAATGTTTTAACGTGTGCATTTTGTTTAGTTCGTAGATAATTTATCATCAAAAGAGGAAGTCGATCAAGCACAATATTACCTATATAAGTAAGTATCACATTACATAACTCTTTAAAAAAGTTACCGTTTGCGCAATACAGATTCAGTTAGTTGCATTTGTTCAATTGTGAAGTTGAAGTGTTGATCTCCTCAGGTTTCGTCACAGTCCAAACTGTTGGTATCTTCGGGACTGGACCATCCACAGCTGGATCCAACATTGTCTTAAATACGGAGCCAGAGATAAAGCCCTTTACACGCTGAAGAACAAGGTTTGGAAGATGTCAGATTATGCTTTCACTTTATACACTACCAGGCCGAAGTTTGGAATATTAATGTATTTTTAAAGAAGCCTCTTCTGCTCAGCAAGGCTGCATTTATTTGCTCAAAAATACAGTAAAAATTGGAAATATTATTAGAATTTAAAATAGCTGGTTTCAATGCGAATATCTGTTAAACTGTAATTTATTTCTGTGATCAATTACTCCAGTCTTCAGTGTCACATAATCTTTCAGAAATCATTCTAATATGCTGATTTGCTGCTCAAGAAATATTTCTGATTATTATCAATGTTGAAAACAGTCGTGCTGCACAATATTTGTGTGGAAACTGATATGCATTTTATTTTTCAGGATTCACAGATGAATAGAAAGTTCAAAAGAACAGCATTTATTTAAAATAGAAATCTATTGTAACATTATAAATGTCTTCACTGTCACTTTTTCAATGTAATGTGTGTTAAACGTGTATAAAATATTATTAAATGATAGTTCATCGCAGTGTCATAAGAAGAATCGTGACACTGAAGACTGGAGTAATGATGCTGAAAATTCAGCTGCGTATCACAGAAATAAATTACAGTTTAACAGATATTCACATAGAAAATAGTTATTTTAAATTCTAATAATATTTTACATTTTTACTGTACTTTTGATTAAATAAATGCAGCCTCGGTGAGCAGAAGAAACTTCTTGCAAAAACATTAAAATCTTAATTATTCTAAACTGTAAATGAGAGCGTCTGTTAATTCATAATCATTCTCGTATTGGGAAATGACATTAAATCGAAATAAGACTTTTGTGGGTTTTGAAAACATTTATTTCTAGCCGTTTCAGGCCTCTCTGTTTGACTGTAGGTTCAGTTTGGCATGTTTCCTGATGACTTCACCTTCAATCTTCTGATTGACTCCTTTATAAAAGACAAGGACTTTAGAGGTTTGTAATGCTGTTCATCATCCAGTGGCTGACTAGACATTTACATAAGACAAACACAATCACGAGAAGTCTCTAATCTGCCACGTGAATGCCCTGTCGTGTTCAATCCAGGAGCTTGTTCTGTGGTGGAGGAAGTGATGCTTCAGGAGTCGTTTGAGCGAACCTCCACACAGATTATGTCGCTTTATGCCCTCAGCAAATATCTGGCAACCAAACCTGAGCTCAGTGTAAGTAGATCAGTGTGTGGGGTCTGTAAACACCCGGATGTGCTGCTGGATCCAGTCAGTGTTGTAATAGTGACATGTTTGTGTTGTAAAGTTGCTTTGACACAATCTGTATTGTTAAAAGTCGAGGTCGACCGATAGTGGATTTTGCCGATACCGATAGCTAGGTATAACCGATAGTTTTAAAATTGATACTGAACAAAAACTAGGTTGGACCACACTGGCCGATACCGATTAATTAACCGATAGTTTTTAAAATGGATACTGAACAAAAACTAAAATAGTGCTTTATTAAAAAAACAGTACTGAACCATACTAGTAGTAGGAGTAGTAATAATAATAGTAGGGCTGTAACGATTCACTCAACTAACGCTTCGATTCACGATTTTGATTTCACGATTTGATTCGATTCACTTTTTTTTTTTTTTTTCAAAATGAGATTTTCTGTATTGTTAAAAGTCGAGGTCGACCGATAGTGGATTTTGCCGATACCGATAGCTAGGTAGATACCGATTAATTAACCGATAGTTTTTAAAATGGATACTGAACAAAAACTAAAATAGTGCTTTATTAAAAAAACAGTACTGAACCATACTAGTAGTAGGAGTAGTAATAATAATAGTAGGGCTGTAACGATTCACTCAACTAACGCTTCGATTCACGATTTTGATTTCACGATTTGATTCGATTCACTTTTTTTTTTTTTTTACAAAATGAGATTTAAGACAAATTATAAATTAAATGTGTCCTTTTATTATTGCTTGGACAAAATGCTGCACATTTCTTTGTGAAATTGAAATATAACACTATAATAATATAGCACTTATAGCATATAATTACTCTTTTGTTAGTTTTGATTGCTCCTATTGTCCTCATTTGTAAGTCGTTTTGGATAAAAGCGCCTGCTAAATGACAAAATTTAAATATAATGTAAATGTAAATAACAAAACTAACTTGAAATTTTAAAACAAGGCCCAAATCAAATAAATAAGTAACACAAATAAAATAAATCTCTTCAAACTAAGGCTTTGTCTTGTGCTCTTAACATTTAAAATTTGAGGCAACCACTGCATTTTAATCATGATCCAAACAAAGATGCTGCATACATGATTAATCTAAATAAGATTGTATAATTCCGAAATTTGAAGCAAAAACAGAATTGTTTGACTTCAGTTTTGTGAAACAATACATACAAATATCTGCATGAAACAGCAGACGAGCTGAACGAGACGCAGATTCACTCTCTGCCAGCAGGTGGCGCTTAAAGCGTTTCCTTGGTTACCGCTGTCAACAAAGCAGAGCTGTGCTTATGAACAGCAATGATACAGTGTTTCCTTGGTTACCGCTGTAAACAAAGCAGAGCTGCGCTTATGAACAGCAATGATACAGTGTTTCCTTGGTTACCGCTGTAAACAAAGCAGAGCTGCGCTTATGAACAGCAATGATACAGTGTTTCCTTGGTTACCGCTGTAAACAAAGCAGAGCTGCGCTTATGAACAGCAATGATACAGTGTTTCCTTGGTTTCCACTGTAAACAAAGCAGCGCTGCACTAATGAAGTTTAATATGCATTATACAGAGGCAAGATGAAAAGAAAAAAATACCATCTAAACTTTTCTAAAGACAGTCAGTTCCCCTCAGACATACATTCATATAAACTCCTACCCCAAAATGAATCGCGATTTGTTTAGTATCTCAACCGATTTGAATCGTCACATATTTGAATCGATCTTCAACCGGCTCGCGGTTAATCGTTACATACCTAAATAATAGTAATAGTAAATGTTGAAGTTAACACACTCTAACAAGGAACAATACTTACACAGCTTTCATTAATCTTAATGTTACAAATGGACTTATTTTAAAGTGTTACCATTTCATTTCAACAGTCATGCTTAAAGATGCACATCTTTAAATATATACACAAAGGCCATAGCGTTAAAATTATATACATATGGATATTGTATGTATACTCTCTCAGTTTAACTGCTTCTATTCTTGAACACTTGACGATTATCTTATCAAAATAAAAGTCTAGGAGAACTCGCCGGTATCACACACACTCCGGACGCGTCGCGTTCAACTCGAGCAGCGCTCTAAAACTGTTTATTTAATCACCAAACGGACACAAGTTTACTTCAAGAATGAACAATGAGGCATAGATGAGTTTGAAATTCGGTGTTTAAAAAACGGAGCAAACGGAAAGAGAAAGCGCGACCTATATTATAGCTCTATAAATGAAGCACACAGACTTTATTAGAGCCACAGAAAGACAAACGTTTTGCTGAAAATACACAATTCATTATGTACATTAACAACGATTCGGGACAAATATAATGTAATTTAATGGAAAACTATGAATGGCGCTCTGTGGCACGGCAGGATTTTCTGTCAGCTACATTTAAATCTGCGTCTAAATTTTTGCTGGTAACCGATAGTTCCAGCAATCAAATATCGTTGCCGATTAATCGGCAAAACCAATATATCGGTCGACCTCTAGTTAAAAGAGCTATTTTAATAAAGGTGACTAAATGTTCAGTGGCAGGAGGAGAGGAACATGGGAGCGTCTCTGATGTTGGCTGGACTGAAGCAGGAGAACTCTGTCGGTTTCAACGCTCGGCTTCTGGGATTGGCTCTTATTGGTGTGTATGCCTTAGTGATGGGAGAAACGAAGCTTTTCGAAACTTTGAATCAATTGAGCCAATTGCTTTGCTAAATGATTCACTGTTTCAAAGTGCTCAAAACACCACACGCTAGACAAAACAGTGTAAATGCAATGAAAACTCAGGCCAGACATACATAAAAACACCTTTACAAACCAACTGGAAATGTTTTATCGATTGCAATTAACAAATCAAATGACTACTAAAATGACAAAAACACATAAAATTACTAAAACTAAAATTACTAAAATTTAAATGGAAAACAATAGAAGGGACAATGCAAATGAAAAATCGAAAATATAAAAATAAAAACTGATTCAAAATGATGATATTAAAGCAATACGGGTTATTTTATTAATTGCCAGGGCTTGTTTTGTTTGTTTTATGGAAAGTTTGGTTAATCAGGCCAATATGAGACTATTATCTACAACTCTTCCTTTTTATCATTCAAATATGTAATAAAAAAAGTTTATAAAACTGAAAAATTTATAAAAATGTATTAAATTATTTAAAAAATATATAAAATTCCACCAAACAGTGTGGTTTTAGCGTCAATATATTTTTACCCTTTTTAGAAATATTTTTTAAAAATGTAATCTTTATATTTACCTTTTTCATTTTAAACTAAAGTTTTAGTAATTTTGTTGTCTTTTTTTTTTGGCATTTTTCATATGTTTGTCTATACATTATTAATTTTTATAAATAAAAAAAGTAGTATTTTAAAAAAAGTTTAGTATTTTAGTGCATCAGGTTAAACTAAATTTAAAATGAGAAATGTTGGTTTTTATGTTAAAGGCGTCATGAACTGCCTCTGTTTTTTATTTTGTACTGTTCTCTGAGGTCCACTAATAATGTTATCAAGATTTTTACATCAAAAAAACATTATAATTTAGAAGAAATAGGCTATTTTCTGTCCTGTTTTTAACCCCCTCATCAGAATGCTCTGTTTGAATAGGCGTGGAGGATTGTAGACTCGGAAGTAAACGCCCACTGTTGTGATTGGCTAATAGTTGTGTATGTTTGACAGCGTACATTCATTCCTCACAGATGGACGGTAAAATTAAGTGAACAAAGGACCGAGTTCTTACTGATGCGATCTTCATTAAAAATAAAGTTCATTCACTCTTTCCTAACGTTATGATCAGAAGGAAGGCAACACAAACACAGTTTTTCTACAACTTGGCACTGCACAACATCTTGTTGTCTTGAGAGCATCTTTATCGTTTGGTTTCTGCGTAGACCTGCGTTCGCCTCTCTCGTAAACACTTCAGCCATGAATCGGTGGGCGGGGCTAAACAGGCAGTGATGTAGAATTGGTAGGCTAAACAGGCAGCGATGTAGAATCGGTGGGCGGGGCTAAACAGACAGCGATGTCCTTGATCTTCTGCGGAGGCGGTGCTTATCCACACTATTACATCATAGAGTAGAACATTTCACAAGCAGTAGTTTTGACAGACTGCCTTTAATATAAGCTGTTTTAGACTAACGAGAAAGTTTTGAGTTCTGAAACTTACAGGATATTTTTATAGTACAATGACTTATACGTCGAAAGATCAAGGGAATTTTGGTTTCTCAGTTCATGACCCCTTTAATAAAATGTTAATATTTGGAATCAGTTTTAATTTTTTTTGTTTTCCCTTCCAATTTTTCCCATTTTAATTTTAGTTACATTTTTAGTATTTTTTGTGTATTTTTTGTATGTTTATATGTCTCTACAGATTCTATTAATCTTTATTTAATTTTAGTTATTTTAATACAAGAAGTTAAACTAAATTAAAACCCTGCCTTGCAACTAGCTTTATTTTAATTTTATTTCAAGTAACAAAAAAAAAATGTTTATGTTCAGTTTTAGTTTTAGTTAACTATAATAACCCTGCCCCCAAATAGACACTTCTGATTGGAACCCAAAACCAGTCTAATTGCACCTGGCCTCCTTACGCCTTAACTAGTTGTTCAGGAAACGCATGGACTATTTTGCAAATATGTCGTTTTGCACGTCCTCAGATTCTAGGATTCTCTGTCTGAACATCAGATAGTCTCATCTTCCGATCGTGTCTCCAGGTAAAGTCGAGCTGTCCAGAGGAATTCACGCCGTGTTTCACGAGATGCCCCTGATCTGGACCTCCGGTTATCTTGGGCGAGCCCTTGCTGTCATGGACGCTGTGTGTGACTTCAGAGACGTCAAGTTATCTGAGGAAGTTGTGAGTATTTACAGAGATAACTAATTGACCATAATGAGGTCTTACCATGGTACATATTTATCTTGTCTGAGGAAAAAGTTTAAAGAGAAACCACATGAATAATGTTTTTGAAGTAAATCTTTGAGATCACTGCACAGAAGTTATAAAACGACTTCATACTGGGATACTGCAGGATTCTGTAGTGAAAATGTTGTTTGAAAGAATAATTCACCCAAAAATGAAAATGTCCTCACCCTCAGGATCATCCGAGATTAGGATGAGTTTGTTTCTTCATCAGATTTGTAGAAATGTAGCATTGCATCAGTGTCTCAGCAATGGATGCTCTGCAGTGAATGGGTGCCGTCAGAATGAGAGTCCAAACAGCTGATAAAAAAATCACAATAATCCACAAGTAATCCACAGCACTCCAGTCCATCAGTTAACATCTGGAGAAGACAAAAGATGAAACATCCGGCATTAAGATGTTTTTAACTAAAATACCATAGAGTCTATAATCCATAATAACGCTTCCTCCAGTGAAAAAGTGCATCTGCTGTTGTCTCTCACATCAAAATCCAGCCACATATTTGTTTAGAGCTGTTTAAACGCTGCTTGATCTGTGCAGATTTCTCTCCTGATTCAGACCAGAACACTTTTTCACTGGAGGAAGCCTTATTATGGATTATGGACTCTATGGTATTTTAGTTAAAAATGTCTTAATGCTGGATTTGTTTCAGCTTTTGTCTTCTCCAGATGTTAACTGATGGACTGGAGTGCTGTGGATTACTTGTGGATTATTGTGATTTTTTTATCAGCTGTTTGGACTCTCATTCTGACGGCACCCATTCACTGCAGAGCATCCATTGCTGAGACACTGATGCAATGCTACATTTATCCAAAATGTTTTGAAAACCAGAAGAGCATGTTGCTACTTGCTAGTCATGAGTTCTAATTCACAGTGATCGCATGTCATTTATATCGAATGCACTGAGAGTCACTTTGATTAAGCGCGTCTGCAAAATGAATGTGTGATTGAGTTGTTGAGGGTTGAAGCATCTCTGGCTTTCAGCTGGATCATGTGGAGAAGATATTGCAGGATCTCTCAGTGAACGCTGATGGACAGAACGTCACTGACACGCCGCTAGAGGAGGAAGATGAGCTGGAGACACAGAAACTACCAGAGTACATCAACCGCTTCAAGGTTAGTTTTTCTTACGTTAAATGCACTAAACATTTATGCATTTACATAAACACCTTCTAAACTTTGTTACAAATAAGTAAGCGTCAGAATAACTGCAGTAATATCTCCAGATGAACACTTACTGGACTGCTCAATCACTGCATTATATGTTTGGATCATTTCAATCTCATCTTACTGAGACATATTACTGGAGATATAGAGTGATGACTGATATTTATATCATTTTATGTCAGTATCGGCTGTAGTGTTATAAAGATCTCATTGATTTATATTACAAGCATCAGAACTTCATCATAAATATCAGCATCTGCAGCAAATTCATATTTTTGCTCAGTTTTAGTCTCTGAATAAAATCAAGCTGGTTTTCCTTCATATTCTCACTGTATCAGACTATATGAGCCTTGAAAGCCTGATGGATCAAATATGATACAAAAACATTAAAAAAATGTGACCCTGCAGCACAAAAGCAGTCTTAAGTCGCTGGGGTATATTTGTAACAATAGCCAACAATACATTGAATGGGTCAAAATTATACATTTTTCTTTTATGCCAAAAATCATTAGGATATTAAGTAAAGATCATGTTCCATGAAGA